TCGATTGGTACTTGCGTGTATTCTAAGGACCACATCTAGAAAAAAAAAAGACAAGACACATTTCATTTTCGAAAATTAAACATGCATAACTTGCATACGCACCCTTACTACGCCATCTGTAGAACCAGTGATCACCACATTTTCCTGATCCCATTCACGTATTTGCGAGAAGGAAACACATAATATTTGCTGCATGCGATCGGCGCTACCTACGCACGTATTCACCATCGCCAGCGGATCGCCGTTGATTGACCAAACGTGCAGCCAAGTTGCCGAACATGTCGCGATATCGCCCGTAAGATCATTGATGGCCACGGCGGCAACAACACCCGCATGGCCGCGCAACTGCCGTACGAATGTGAAGCGCGACATGTCCCAAACGATCGCGGTGCCATCGCGCGAGCCCGATATGATTACATTGTATGCAGCGCTTGCTGCCAAGCAAGTGACGGCATCAGTGTGCCCGTGCAAGGAGTTGCGTACGGTGAGACTCTTGCGATTCGCATCGAATTTCCATATCGTCACAACTGAACTAGTGCCGGCAGTCACAATCATTTTGCCATTGGGACAAGCGCAACAGAGTATTTCACCCGAGTTTTGTGCAGCGGCCTCGGAAACAAAGGAAGCACGATCGGAGTCGTACAGACCAATGCGGAGCGAGTGATCGGCAAAGCCCCAGGCGATATATTTCGTATAGGAGGGTGGCATCATTACCTGGGCGACAAGAAATTTAACAAATATACAAATATATATGTATGTACATATCAAATGGATGCACAATTACGGAAATATATTTCACGTTCTTCATGCTCACCTTATTCTGCTCGACGGCAAACACAGTCTTATCTGGTTGCAATATCTGGCCAACAGGTCCCTTCAGTTCCTTGATTGGCTGGAGGCTCGGTTTAAGATTATTTAAGTTATGGAAGAACAAACGTTCCGATTGTAAAACGGTGGTGTTACCCTGTATTAAAGCGCCCGGATCGATTAGCGCGGAATGCCGTGAATTGGACATTTTCTTAGCAGGATGTGCTTTCTTGAAGAGCTGTTTGGGGATCTGGCCAAAATTGTTGATGAAGCCGATGGTGGCGTTCTTCTTCAGCGGATCGTCGATGCTAAGGACAATATAAAAATCAGTAACCAACAGATATTTGGATAGAAGAAAGCAACTCACTTGTAAATGTCTACATTGCCTTCGTAAAATAAATGGTGGAAAACATTCACTGCATCCACGGCAGCGGGACCTTGTTGCTTGCACCCAAATATTAAGTCAATCCACTAGAATTGAAGGCAAAAAATTATAAGCAACTGCTAAATTAGAATTAAAATTTCGTTCGGCACTCACCAAATGCAGATTTTGGCTAACATAATCACACTCTAAAGCACTCCGATGAACGCGTATAAATTCACGTGGATCCTGCTTAGCCCAAGGTGGTAGGATGACATGATTCAGCGTATCGCCGTTTTGTTTTGTGCCTGTTTTTTTTTTTTTTTTTTAAGAGAAATGCAACGCGTTAAGTCAAGTCCACTTCCCCAACTTATTCATCTGCTTACCCAAGTCAAAATTATTGCCGTTGCTCAAAAATTCCGGAAGATAGAAAAATTCCGGTATCAACTCCTTTACATCAGCCATATTGAATTTGGATGCGGATTGCCACGCTTCTCTGATACTATGAAACATGCGATCAGCTAAATCGAAATGGCCGCCTTGCAGACGCAAAAAGTGTTGTGTGAATGGTTCCAAACGCACCAGATACGAGCAAACAATCATGGCAGAGCTGTAGTGCGTGCCATAGTGGTAGGGAGGCGTCTCGCCATGTGGATCATCCCACTCCTATTAAAGAGTGTAAATATTGGGAGCAAGAGAGTTGCAATTTTTTCCACAAAAAAAAGAAAAAAAAATTTCTTTACCTTAAAACGTTTCTGGAATTGCTCTAGGCGCTCCTCTGATTGCGCGCCCATCGGCTTCGAGAAGTCACGGAATGTCTTTGGGTTTACAAATCTAGCTCTTCCGATTCGTAGTCGGCGACTATCCAGGGGAAGACTGGATATTGCATGAGATCATTATACGAACGGCCAGCCAGCGTATTCAAATGCATTAAGTATTGGAAGTTGGAGATTTCACCGCGCTGTTAATGGGAAAATACTAAAACAAGATCTGAGACAACGAAAATAGATCTTACGTACCACCCAACGTTGCGTGACTGATGTTTCGCCAATCAAACTGCTAAAAATGCCCGAGGTTTGCTCCACACTTGCTGTTCGCTTCTGGCCTGCCACCGACTGCTGTGCGTTGTCATTGATGGCTGTCGCCTGTGCCATGAAACGTTGATAGACCTAGAAGGGGGGGAAAGAGGTCAATGAAGGATTTCAATGGCATTAACAACCTGCTTCCGCCGTAGTATACCCACCTTATTCCTCACTTTCCGCGGGAAACTCAACAAATAATTTCGTCCATCCTCCGAGAATACCTCCAAGGCTATTGGCTGCAGCAGATAGCGGCGTTTATGCACCTCTCTAATTTCTTCATAGGCGAATTTTGAGCACTGGCGAGCCTTCTGCGTGCGCGTAGGTCCACCCGAATTCGGTATAATCGGCTCATATGCACCTGGTGGCAATGTATCAATGTCGCGTATTTCGCGATTCTTCAGCAGCGTGAAGCCGTCGACAATATAGCAGTGCTCCTTGCCGAAGAGCAGCAGGCCCTCAAAGGTGTCCAAACCCTGAATGCGCGCACAGCGAAACATGAAGGAAATTTTCTCTTGCTCCTCCAACAGACGGAGGAATGTTTCATTATCGGACATCATTGAGGTGTCCTCCTCTTCCTCGTCATCCTCTTGAGCACTTGTATCTATAGACTCCTGTGGATTTTGCAAGCGTGTAACTGCCTCTGTAGGCGAGTGTGGTAGTGCTGGTGGTGGCGTGCTGCTACTACCGCCACCTGATTGTTCGCTTCTGCTCGTCTGCGAGTCAGAGTGCTGAGCGATGTGTGGATGCTTTGTATTATTTACTTCCAGTGATTGTTGCTGCTGTATGGAGTGTTGTTGTTGAAGCGAATCTGTTTCGCACAGTATGCGCGGCGGTTGCTGACAGTGGATATAATAGATTTTACTATCGAAACTTGTGGCCACTTTGTATTTTAATTGACGCTGTTGAAGAGAATGAAAAATGAGAGAAATTAAGAAAAGATTTAAATATTTAGCATGATTTCGGCAAACAAAAATATGACTTCAAAATCTCGTCACCGAGTAGATCAGGACTTAATCTACATGAAATGTATCCGTACAACCCTGATTTAAGATTAAAGTTAAGAAATAAAGATCAAGGTCCCAAGTGTTACATTTTTATTGACGATTTTGCAATTGTTATTGTGTAGCAGCATACAAATTCTCCAAAGAGTTTTTGGGGAGTTATGCTGGAGTAGCAGTCCTTGGTCAGATATATGTACATAAATAAATCTGGGTCGTTCCGGTTACGTAGACCCGACTGCCGTGGGAACGACGATTTTTCAATTCAATACCGCTGCTGTAGAAGTACAATTCAATAATAAAATTTTACATAATGGACGAAAGTCTGTAGTTTCTTATTTTTTTTTTTGTAATGCTCCGAGCTCCGAGCTATTTGAGCTTATTTTTCTTGATACCGTTTCTTATCGCTTTCTATAGCACCTGTCTCGATTACACTTACATTATCAGGCAAATCGATCTCCGGTCTGTAAGGGTAGTGCAAATAGAATAACTCATTGCGCATTGTCTTCTTGCGCATTCGATGCGGTCCCTCTGTCGTATCCAAAATCCATTTATCCAACGAAGAACTGCCCTCTGGGCCCCACAAGCCACGTTCACGTGTCAATTCTGTCTCCGACTGTATCCAGTCTTGATAGACGTAGCGCTGCGTGTGTTGTTGCATTTGTATGTATTGCTTGCAGCGCAGCTCCCAAAGGTCCCTTGAGAAAAGAAATATAATTTTAATGTGAAATTACCTTTTAATCACATCTCCTACTCGTACTTACTTGATCAGCTGCACATGTATGCTCGTGCAATCGAAAGCGCTCTCCTTGCTCATTGTTGATTTGATGCGTACGAGCTCATCCTTTTTGACTTTGGTGCGACTCGCGAGTCGCGTCAAACCGCCGGTGACTTTCTGTATTTTCGACTGTATTTGATTGTGTATCTCCCAGGGTATGCGATAGGAAGCCTTACGTTCAGCATCCACATAGTTGAACCACAGCTTGGAGGCTAACTCCATTACCTGCTCGCGCGTGCTCTGCAAATCAGGCGCTTTGGAATTGGGCGGTGGTGGCGTAAGCGATACTTTGAATACTTCTTCAATGGCTGGCTTCTTGCAAACGTACAACTCTTCCCAGACGCGAAAGGCGGCGCCCACAATTAAATTTCGGCCCTGGATGAGCGATGAGAGAAGTGAATGAATTTGTATTTTGTTATTGATTTTATTTTGCCCAATTGTTTGTTGACCTACCTGCAGCTGATTGAGGTCTTCATCCTTTGGCTCCACTGTATCCGTTTGTGGATTAACATGCCAAGTGGTGTTTCTATTCGCCGGTTCTAATATAATTTTCATATCCGACGTCAATTGCAGCAAACAATAAGTCAGGCAGCCGATGAACTCCAACTCGTGATTGCCAGCGCCAAAGATGAGCAAGCGATGGGTTATAATGTTGTGCAAAGCTTCCAGCACACTCATTTGTTCGGCTATTGACTCTGTGGGACGCGATAGCAGGAATAATATCGTGCGATTTAGTGAGTGATGCAGCTGCTCTATGGTCAGCGAAGAGGAGCGCCGCTTGGCTTGCGCAATCAACTTGATGACGAAGTCGAAAATGTCGTGCGGATTTCGCGTCAAGCAGCCCTGCCACATCTTGTCTACCACGCGCGCTGTGAAGTAGAAGACGTTCGGCGCTATGTGCTGAGTGTGGCTTTGTAGCAGCGGCACAATGGAGAGCGCCGCTTGCTCGCCCACTAAAACATCCGCGGCCAGCAGATGCTCCATCAAAGCGGTGATGATTTCCGTCTGATAATCAACTTGCAATGCCACTTCCGCTNAGCAGCGGCACAATGGAGAGCGCCGCTTGCTCGCCCACTAAAACATCCGCAGCCAGGAAATGCTCCATCAAGGCGGTGATGATTTCCGTCTGATACTCAACTTGCAATGCCACTTCCGCCGCCTCGGGTGATGCATCCAACACCAGATCAATTACGGGCGTGGTCTTACCATGCATATTCAGGCTGAGCGAATCGACAACAATCACGCGCAGGAAATCAATAATGCATTTGCGCACCGGATGTTGTGTCAATCTGTGCGCGGGCGCATTCAAGCCACTGTGTGCGGCGTGCAGCAAAAAACCCCCGCTACCATTATCGGTGGGCGATGAGTTGCCGCTATTCGGCTCGGAATCAATATTCGGCTCCTTCGAAATGGGGAAGAGCACCGCTACCAGTGAGCTAATGACGTCGCCGGACATCATGACGGGCATGAAGTCGGTGACATTCTGATATAAATTGAAGAGCAGTTGAATTATTGTCTCGGGATGGCTGTTGAGCCAGTTGGCGCATTCGATCGAGTGTACAATCGCGCGGACCATGCCCAGCAGCACGCAAACAGCCTCGGGGCAAACATTCATTTTTGGGAGTGGCGCATTCGAAGAGGGTGGTGTGCCCCATAAGAAGAGACGCACGCGGTCTAAATCGAATTTTGTGTGTTCAGATGCGAGCACTTTCACTGGTTGGCCCATAATCAGAGCGGTGATGAGAAAATATAGCTCCGGTACGTCCAGATGATGAGTGAGCAACCACTCGAGCGTTTGGAAGCCTATTTAAGAAAGAAGTTAGTAGGTAATCAGATGCGGAAGTAGTAGATAAAAATATCATATTACTGCGCCTCACCTGGTATACTCAGCGCTATAGTGCGCACTTCGCCAGCGATCTGCGTTGGTAGGTGCTGCACGACATTGGCTGTGGTCACAATAACCGAGCCGCCAGTGTTCTGCACGCCCGTATTCAACTGTGGAGCTCCTAATGCCAAAATTTTCTTCTGCGAAACCATTTCGGTGAAGCGCAAGTAGCCGCCATTGTGCGTTGAGTCCCTAAAGCGCACCATGAAATTCTCATTGGCGCAGACCACCACCAAAATACGCACCGCAATAATGACGCTCGTGAAGTGTACATGCGGTTGCATGAAGAGTAGAAGCCAATCCATGCCCAGCGTCTTAGAGATGTCGTCGCAAATTATGTAGTTGACGGTATTGCGTGGCGTGAAGAGCAGCCCATGCAGCAGCGAGAGGCAGCGGTTGCGTAGATAAATGTTTTGAGCCATGGCCTCTTGATCGCTGAAAGCATTTCCATTAACGCCAGCCGTGGGTCGCATACTTGGCAGTATGATTGACTTCTCAACCTGATCGGACTTGGGCAACTTGGCAGCGATGTACTGGCCGAAGAGCAACAGGTCGCTGTGGCGCGGCTGACCGCCAAGCAGTGTCTCAATCAGATTAAAGAGTATCTCACGCGTCGAGTGATCTTGTATGTCGATAATGATGTGCAATAGCTTGTTGAGCAGCTGCAGGTTGCCCATGATCTTCACATTCTGCTTCTTCTCATTCGACTCAATAGCCAACTCGAGTAGATGTTCTAGCAGCGAGCGTAGCAGGCCATTTGGCGCATTATGCCAAATTTCTAAGTCACAGAGCAGATCTTGGAAAGCGGTTATATTAGGAATGGCTGACATATCTTGGCCGCTGCTGACGGTGCCGACCAAGCCAAAAGTCAAGTGTAGTATGTGCGAATTGAGTAGATTCTTTTTCTTCTTGAAAAACATGCCCAGTGTTTGATAACAGCGCTTGCGATCCATTTCGCTTTGAGCAGCCCGATTGCTGCGCACCACACAAGTGAGCGCTTTGACACCAGCGTAAAGTGATTCCACATCCTGCGCCATGGCGATGATGCCCAGCAGCACATTGCAACCACCCACCGTATCGATCATGGCAGAGACGGGGTGTGGACTGAAGACGCGCACGCCCAAGTAGCCGACGACTACGCCGCCGAGTGAGCGGCCAGCGCCCGCCAAGTGGCCAGCAGAATTATGCAGGATTCTGTGGGAGAAATGGAAAGAAGTGAATGCTGTGAAGCTGTATCTGGATTTAGAAAGCATGTACTTGCTTACCTTATGGGCGTGGCATTCTCATGCGAATTCATGCCCAATACTTTGGCTATGGATTTGTTATCGACGCGACTATAAACCTTACGTATTTTTACCAAAGTTAATTGCGAAACCGCTTTTGCATTGAGTCCCAGGAGAAGTCGGTCTTCCGGCACCAAAGGCGGCAGCGGTTCACACTGCTTGCCTAGTTGCGGCGCTTGCAGCGATCCCATGTAGTGTGGCCCCAAGTTATAAATGGTCTGTACAGTTTGCTGCGTGAGCACATCCTCCAACAAATGACAAACGCCTTGCTTCCAACAAAGACGCGAATAACGCCGCCAAATAGGAGGAGTGCCAATGTAGCCATAGACCTGACTGGCAACGGCCAGATTGACGGAACCAGCACCCGGATTTTGGGATATATAATGAAGTTTTTGCGTGTGCATGGGCTGCAGTGAGACAACGGATCAGAAAAGAAATACGAATTTAATGGAAAATTGCAAAATAAAATTAAAAAACACGTACGGTGCCATCCAAGTACAGTGAAAGGCTGGAGTTCTTTAGTACAGCGCGGTTGAGCACCACAACTAGGTTATGCCATTGGCCCTCATGCAACAAATCGGGACACCAAATGCGTGCACTGCCATCGTCTGAACCTTCAGGCTCCCAATCGCCTAGGCCTCAAGTGAATAGAACAGAGAAGTTTTATAAGAACACTCAGTAAAATAGTATCGAAGAACCTTAATTTAAAAAATATATATATATTAACTCACTTTTGCTCGGCGTCACCAACGTCTCCTGCGTGGACACCACAATCGCTTTGTCGCGCGCCGATAACAGTATTGATAAGCAAACCAAATTCTCTTCGCGCGGATTGTGTATAGTACGCACCAGCGTCAGCAGCCGTACGCAATGTGGATCCGTCTTTGGATCCGAGAACTTCTCCACACAAAACCAAGTGGAGTACGAGAGTCCTGTTTGGGGTGGAAAAATGCGATCACCAGCGCCAATGCCTCCGATTGTGTTGGCATCGATTGTGCCGCCAGTGGTGGCGGTGGCTTGTGGTGCCAGCGATGGCAAGTACAAGCAGCCAAAGCCCTCTGCAGACATGTCCATCTCCACGAATGGTGGCAAAGTGCTCGAACCATGCGCGCGAAAGTCTCGTGGTGTTGTCATCGAAACAAGCGTCTTGATGCGTGTCAACGGCACTGGGCCACCCATGCGGTACGGTTTGCGCAAGTCGATGTCGGCACAGGAAAGCGGCTCACCTAGTCGCAAGAATTCACGCAACTCTGTGGGCTGCAAAGCCTGCGCGGCCAAGCGCTCCAACACGTACTGCATAGAAACGTGCAGCGGATTGGATTCTTCGGAGAGAGCGTTACGAGCAATTTTCAACAGCTGCTCTGCGAGTCCATAGTCGCACATGATTTGCTGATTGCGCTCGTTGCGCACCAAGGATTTGATGATTTCGCTAAGATAAACTTGCAGATTGAGAGCCAGTACGGCGCTGGTGTCGTGTGAGATGCTTGGCAGCAGCTGGAGCATACAGAGTACAACGCCTGGGTGTACAATGCGTGGCTCTGGTGTGGGCTGCGTAAGGTTCAATTGGTTGGGATGCGCAGGTGGCAGCTCTTTGCTGGGCGAACGCGAATGCGAGTCGCTGAAGAGTGTTATGACGCCCGACAAATTTGGCGTTTCGAAGCTGTCCAAAGCAATGCTGTACAACAGACGATACACAACACATACGTAGGACAACGAACGCGGTATGTCTGCATTGAAGCTGTGTGGAAGAGAAAGTGGAAAACCTAAATAATTGAAACTATTTTTGTCTGGGATCGCAACACCTAACCTGTAGTTTAATATATCGCCCGAGAAAACTTCGTGGAAATACTTTTGCATTGCACTTTCATTCTTGAACTCGCCCTTGAAGTCGCTCAGTTCAGTGGCGCTACCGAAACAGCCCAGCAGTCGCAGCGTATCGCAAAGCGAAGCAGTGCAAATCTCCTGATGAAAAAATTTCGCATTTGCCGGCTCAAAGCGCATCGCGGTGGCCAACGTTTGGCAGACAATCTGCAGCAGCAATATCAAATCATCCTGTGTTATGTTTTGCGCGTCCGGCTCGGCACTAACCAACGGCTCGTCGCACAACTTGCCATCGAGCGAGACGAAAACGCTGGTCAAGTAGACAAAGCCGCCCACTTTGCGAAAAACTGTGCGCGTGCGATGCGAGTCCTTCAAGCAGCCCAACAGCATATTGAGTATTTGTATTTTGAACTCCACCTGGTATGGCGGCACCGCATGCATAACGGATAGTATGAAAAGCATATCATCGTCGCCGCCCGCAGACAGTATTAGTTCACGTATGATGCCCAGTGCTTGCGGCCGACAGTGTTTGAACTTCACCAAATCGTGTATGCACTTGGCGCCGCTGCATTCTCGAAACACATTCGCGTTGTTATTATTACCGCTAAGCAGAATGGTGAGCGCCTCGAGCACGTGCTTGCCCAGCGTATCCGTGAGATCCTCGACGTCATCTTCCTCCGGCATAAGTACCACACTCTCATCGCATTTGGTTATCTTGCGCACATGGTCCGCATAGCGATTCAAGCAGGTGACAAACACCTCGAGTATGCCCACCTCGAGATATACTTCCTTGAACACGACATTGTGACGTAGAATATTGAGTAGCGTTTTCAGGCAGAGGATGCTACAGCTGGTCGAGTGATTGTTCTTCAGCAGCAGTGAGAGGCTTATCAGCTCTTTGCACGGCACAAAATTCAGCTGAAATACAATGAACTCGAGTAGATCGAAAAATTTCTCCTGTATCTGTGGGCCCTTCAGATGTATGCGCTCTGTAAATTGACTAAGCGTATTCTCCGAATCGAGTATGAAGTAGTTGGCATTCTCCGAGTGATATACGCGCGATATGGCGTCGAGTATGGTGCAGCAAAGTGCCGGTGAAGTGGACTTCAGGAAGACGGTTTGCAGCACTTGGAATGCGTAGATATTGCGAACGCAAGTTTCACGCGAGCTAGCCTGTGGTATTTGAAAGTTTTGCATCTTGAAGAGCGTGTTTTGCACCTGCGGCGGGCGCAGCTCATTGAAGCCACACATGCAAAGCGAGGAGATCATCAATACGAGATTGCGTATGGCGGCCTGTACTTCAATGGAATGCGTCCGGCTGGTGTCGAATCTTAAAGATAGAGATAAGGAAAGATGATAAAGGGTACTGGACCGGAAAATCATTTATCCCATCCTTTTCGCGAAGCTTTTCAACTTACTTGAGCAAAAAATCGGTGAGGAAGAGATATCCCTGAGACGCTTTGAAATCATCGAGCAAAATTTGTGACACTTGACTAGAATCCTTCAGGAAGCAAAAAACGGTAACAAACATTTCGACGATTTCCAACGGATTTCCAAAGCTCAACCGTTGCATATTATCCACGCATAAAGCCATGCAGCCCTTGGCTAAAAAGCAGAAAACAAACGATAGCTTTAAAATAAAGAAATGCCACAAACAACACCAAAAACGCCTTACAATGTATATAACTAACAACGGCGTCGCTAAGTCCATGCCGCGAGATGGTCGTCAATATTTCTGCTGCATTTTTGCGCCACACAATGTTGTGCGTTGGGCAGGGTGAGGTAATGGCCGAGAAGAGCAGTGTGAGGTCGTCCATGCGCGCCAGCTCCTCAGCCGGATACGGATATGAGCAAAGCTTAACTAACAGCTGTACGAAGACTTTCTGCAACAGTGTGCGACGCTCGAAGGCATTGAAATCGCTAGCTGACTCGCCAACGCCCGGCGCTGGATCGTCCTCCACCACTGGTAGGTCAAAGAATAAATACAGGCATTTGACGAGCGTGGATGGCACTGCGGCTGCTGTCATCACCTGTGAAGTAGAGGAGGCAAAAAGTAAATAAACATTTATTTAATTGAAGAAAATTTCCAAAACACTTGTCTATAATTGCCCTACTCAACGCCACATGCAGGAAATTTGGTGCTTCTTCAAGCTACTCGAAGTGCTGCTGGGCATTGGCTGCCTTACATTTCACGTGCTGGGCTTCGTTCAAACCGACCCGCTGCCACACAATCTCTTCTATTGCGGCACCTTCGCCAGCTTTACGGTGTACTCATTGCTCGGCATTCTCAATATTTGCTGCGGCCGCGGTCGCAATGAGATAATGGAAGCCATCCCCACAACATTGGGCGCGCTGGCACACTTCGGGGCATCACTGTTGTCCATGTATCATGCAGAGAATGATTTTCAATTGCTGTTTCTCTCTGACTTTGAGGAGCCACGGCACCCCTTCTTTTTCTATTGCAAGGCGCAAAGTATCGCCGCACTGGCAACTGGCGGCATGTACATGTTGCATGCAACATTCGCCTTTGATGCGCTGTTCATTCGCCCGGAGCCGCAGCGGCCCGAGGAGGGCATGGAAGATGTCGAAATTGAGGAGGAAATAGAAATGGTGCCGCGTCATCGGCGACCAATAGAAATGTTTGTGCTTGGCAGATTAGTGCATACGAAACTGATGAGCTTCAAGTGGTTCCAGATGATAGCTGCGAAGCCGTGAGGTAAAGGAAAGTCAACGTAATTCGGGTTGATTTGGTTTCGAACCTATATCAGACTGCTGTTACGTATGTGCAATGGGAATACATTCAGTAGTCAATAAATTTAGCCTACAGAATTGAATCATCTATTCAAGCAGCTACTTCTAAATTGAGATTATATTTGATCGAAACTTTTGAGATGACTCGGTTTCAATTGAGCTGAACTATTGCGGAAACATCCACGTTACTCTGGCAATAACTTCATAATTTTTTGTATAATCGATGGGATCGCTGGTTTTGCTTTCTTCATCCGTCTAATTGACTTCGGACAGCCTGCCAGCCAATTAAACCTTTTTGCTACCAGAAAATTATGTTTGTATGTATATAGGTACCTGTATCAACGACACATCTCCGTTGGCCAATAAATTCAAAGTAGACAGCAGCATCCAGCCGCTGCTGGTCTCTTCGGTTGTTTCGATCTCCAAAAACTTGACAATCGCTATTGACGCCGCCTCTGTGCTCTGATTGGAGGCTCGTTTCCGTATCTCGCTGACCATCAGCCGCGATACTTGCTGACAAAACGCTACCACATCCCAGAACTTTTCGCTCATATCCGCTGCCGGGCAAGTGCTGAAAACCTGCAAACACCACAAGCAACAGAGAAATTAATTGCTATAAATAATGCAGTGAGTTAACCGCACAATACCTTGCAAAATAACGGCAACATTTGATACAATTTCATATCCCTTTCATGCTCGCTGAGCGCTTCCTTGGGGTGTGTGTACTCGTTGAAGAGTTGTTTCAGCGTATGCAGACTTATTTGTATGCGCGCATCTGCGGCAGCGTTGGTCTCCTCACCAACACGCGCCCCACTTGCGGCGCCCGCCGGCGACAAATTGCCATTGGCTGTGGCACCTGCTCCAGCGGTGGGTGAACCTGTGGCGTTGGTATTGCCACGCAGCTTACGCATCACATTCATGTTTGCCGCTTAGCAGTAAGGGGATGTATTACTCCTCCGAGTTGATTGCGTTTCGATGAGCGGCTTGGTTTGGTGTTTTTCTGTGGCTTCAACTCCGTATGGGGAGCAACCGCAGCCACCAACCGCTAACACCACAGCGCCTTTGTGGGCGACTGTGTGCGTGTGGCCCTTTGGGACTTCAACAATGAAACCTTTAGGTAGAGACTGCAGTTATCGATTCGATGGATTACGCTTTTCAGATACAGCGTGAAATCTGAAAAAGAGAGTGGAAAAATTAGGATTTTGTTAGTGAATATGAAGTTATCGAGTGAAGAACGATATATTTATCGATATCGTTATCGGTGTTTTTATCTAAATTGTTAACCATGGATATATCTAACCCCACTTTCAGCGATATTATCGATAGAATTTTCTATAATGTTATCGAATTGTTAATCGATAACGTTGTCGGTGTATTTATATAAATCGTTATGCCTGGGTTATAATGGAAGTAACGGAACGGAGTGAACTGTCACTTAATTGTCTATTGTATGGGAAATAAATGCAAATGGTTAGAATGCACGTAACGTAACGTAAGACGGAACAATCTAAAATCAATAGATCCTTACGAATTCGTCACGATTTGTTACGATTCGCCCCGTCCATTATAACCAAGGCATTAAGCATGGATGTACATAACCCCACTTTCAGCGATATTATCGATAAACTTTTCTATAATGTTATCGAAATACATCGATGAATGTGGTAATTGATATTGTTATCCACACTTTTATCTATGTCGATGTATCTTTAATAGGTGTAATCCCGTATTCCTCGGACTCGGACTAGTAAAACTGTCAAAAAATAAAAATTCGCTCAGAGCGAGAGAGTAACATTGAAAAGTACGGGATCGCTTTCTAGTAAAAAATGGTAACTTCTGTCAACTTCAACATAACCTCCAAATTTTGGTTGTAAATTTTTGCTTATTTTGTATGTAAACACACTCAGCTCACACATGTAAATAACCAAAAATACTTTCAAATTCATTAGAATCCACAGTTGGGCACTACTATGGGGAAACTCCTGAAGAGATACAGAGTTTTCCGAATGAAAAATATTGATTTTCAAGAATTCCATAACATTTCTACAAAAAGAGGTTTTCCCCCATATAAAATAGCATGGACAACTTTGAGCGTTGACGACTCTAAATATTTTTTGATTTCGAAATAAAAAATAAGGGTATATTTTTTTCGGTTTCGGACAATCTTAGGGAGTGAGAGAAAAATAATTCCGACTTTACTTTTTCCCGCATGCATTTTTGGGCCACCCTAATGTACATACATACCATATATGCATTTCTGGTCTTATATTGGTACTTTTACATGTTTCTGTAGCCATTGCTTGCCTTGGCCTAAATCAATTTTCTTGCTCACGTCACAGGCACGCGAGTAGCATAAAAAGCCACCACAAATGTATGTATGTATGTACATATGTATGTAAGTACATACGCCATAGTAGGTGAGTCACATTTTAAGGAGATGCGGTTTGCAAATTAACAATTTGAGGCCATTAGCCGATATGAAGTTGTGCAGAGCGATTATTTAGGAAGTAAATGAGCGATTATTTATCTCTTCTATTAAACTCCAGTATAAAGAATTGGTACCTTCGTTGGCAAGCCACATATTGATGTTAAGTTTTAAAGATTAGACGTGGATTCAAGAAGGATTAGAAACATGAGCCACTTAACAGTAGTAACAGTTTTTATTTTTTGAATTTTGAATTGTGTCGTGATTGCACAGAACCACCGATATGTATGCAAAAAGCTAGTATTTAGGTCAATAAATCGATACATACAGTTGTCCACAAAATAATAGGAGTGCGATATTTTGACCAGTTTTGGCTATTTGTCTTTTGTTTATTTAATGTTTATTATTTTTTTATAAAAGCCGAGCTGGCTATACAACAAACACCATATAAATTCAGACTTTAAACTTTGTATAAAAATTATAAAAATTGTGCAATTTTTCACCCAAATTTCAAACTTTTTAATCAGAATCTTTAGAAAAAATTCTGGTATGCAGTTTTGTAGCACATTCAATTCTAGTCTGAGGAAGTGCAAGTTTCAAGCGGCTAAAAAATTCCGTTGATTTTTGAGAATTTTTTTGGTTAAAGGTGTTTCAGGTTTTTTCCATACAAAGTATGTCGACAATTTTCTTTTATATGGAGGACACTGCCAGCAAAAAAATTGCCAAAAATCAACGGAATTTTTTAGCTGCTTGAAACTTGCACTTCTTCAGACTAGAATTGAATGTGCTACAAAACTGCATACCAGAATTTTTTCTAAAGATTCTGATTAAAAAGTTTGAAATTTGGGTGAAAAATTGCAAAATTTTTTTAATTTTTATACAAAGTTTAAAATCTGAATTTATATGGTGTTTGTTGTATGGCCAGCTAGGCTTTTATAAAAAAATAATAAACATTAAATAAACAAAAGACAAATAGCCAAAACTGGTCAAAATATCGCACTCCTATTATTTTGTGGACAACTGTATGTATGTTGGGAACGATATCAGTAGGCGTTTGTATATATGTATACTCATAATTTCGATAATAATGCCCATGAAAAGTATATTAGTACATCTATTTTAACGATAACGATATCGATGATAAGAAGATATCAAAAAATATACGAAACACAATATCGATAAATATATCGATACCGAAATTTTTAACGAAATTGAAAAACGCCAGCAGATATATTAAAAAGAGTAACAGAGTACCTATTTCCTAGAAATATCGAAAATTTTTTCGATAAGTACATTAATAAAATTATCGATTATAATGTCGATAACGCTATTTTAAAATATATTTCTTCATAAATTTATCGATAACGAAGCTAGAAAAAGATTTTTTTATTAAAAAAAAAAGAGAACCAAGTGCCCTACATCAAAACTTAATGAGTGCAACGCAAATTCACAGTTTGGTTTCCATCACAGCTCCTAAATTCTGTGTCAAGGCCCTCTATTTGTCAACCAGAAATAAACGAATTTTTTTTTGGTATGTAATTCGGCATCTCATTAATTTCAGCGATTCTGATTACCAATTCTGGTACTAAGTATTTTTTGATAAAATTGTTTTTACAACACTTAAAACAGAAACTTTCCCTCACCCCACAATTTTTGCGCTCATGCTTCATTACTATGAAATCAATATCACATTCCATGAACTCTTAGCGCTCACTCCAATTTTGTGGTACGTATGTATGAGCATATGTTAGTGTTTTTTTTGTGCATTGCGGTTTGCCACAAGGGTATCAAATGTGTTTCTCTCTTCTCCCTTTCGATTTTATTTCTGATAATAAAATAGTGGCAGACAACCGGTGAGGGTTACATGTACATACATATGTATGTATGGGTCACAGCTACATTTTCATGTATATTTTCCCCCACCAATTTGTTTTAATATTTTGGTCAAATCCTTTGGGTAATAAGTCCTGAAAAGACAGCAATTCGAACGAAAAGTCCGGACAAAGCACATTAGGGCGACACAAAGTGTAAGTAATGCTATATTTGTATGTGAAACTAGTAACAAAGTAGTCACTAGTAAATTATAAATCTTTCTTGGGGCTGAAAAAGTGAATATAATGTTCTCATATCGATAAATACATAATATCAAAAATTATATTAGTTGCGATCCCTTACGAGTCCGGACTAGTCAGAAATGTCAGAATAGTCGTTCGATCGATCTCTCGGTTTTGACTATTGAGAGGACAAAAAAGAGAGTAAATACGGTTCTCTCTCTGTCAGAAGTTACCAGTTTTAGTCCGAGAATTTTTTGCTGGTAAATTCTGGTAAATGTGTCAAACGATCAGCTGTAGTGTAGTGTGTTTTGCAACCAAATTGTAAACAAAAGAAAAGTGCACTCTGCTAATTCATGTTGAAAAGTATTTAATTACTTGTTTAAA